TCGGGTAAGAGCATTGTGTTTTCTTTGCGTGCTTTTTCAACTCACACCATTGGAACATCAGAGACTTAAATGCTGTTTTGAGGCTAGTATAGAAATATAGATGTTTGTTGTGTGGTCTCATGACACTGCTATCAGTTTCTGATGGCAAGGCCTGAGATTCTTTCCACTTATACAGAAATGACTGTCTTCAGAAGTTGCTGGTTGCTGAGAGCATGTTCTTACATGCTAGCCTAGGATTAAACTAATTCCTCTAATGTACCTTCTCAGGACTAAATTCTGACATTATCACAAGGGATCTAGCCTAGATTTTGAAGAAGTATACTGTTAAAACAGCATCTAATACCCTTGAATTGTATGAACAGCACAAATAGAATATTTGCTATTAAATACATAACTTCATGTAAATTAAGGGTTGGTTTTTCTTTCTCTTGCTGAACTTACTCCACGTGACAGTGAATGACAAGAGAGGTGATAAGTATTTTGTTTTTCAGGTGTAATGTTGTTGTGGCTCTAAACCTCGCAAATTAGTATACAGCTGACAGGGCATTCACTTGTATTTTATTATTTGGGCTCCAGAGGAGGGAAGCTTTAATTGCAAAAATTGTTAGTAAAAACTACACAGCTAGTGCTGTTGTAGCCGTTGCCTCTTAGGAAGCAGTAGGCTTGGGAAAAGTGGACAGCTCCAGTTCTAACCAAAGACAATTTTTTGGCAGGGTTTTAATTTGATTGCACAATTGTATCTGCTATACTTGCAAAACTGTGTGTAGATATGAATAATTCTATCAACAAGGAAAATAGTCTTGAAAGTATTGTGAATATTTTCCCTAGTGTATCATTCTCTGCAGCAGTAGCTTCACAGCTTTCAGATCTTGTATGTAACACAACAGCTGCTATCTACTGATAATTTGTTTGTTTGTTTGTTTGGGTGTTTTGGGGTTTTGTTTGTTTGTTGTTTTACAACTTTTGCTTCTAGCTCCTGCCTGGGAATTACACTTTGTGATGAGGCTGTGGCATGAATCCTAAATCCTGCAGTATGTTAGAAAATTGCTTATCACTTTAATCTCTCTGTAGTTGAGGAAGTTCAGTGCTTCTCAGGATCCATTTCTACGTTAAAATCTAGTATTGATCTATATAGCTTACCAGTCTTCATAGAAGAAAGTTTGTTCCTATTCTAGCTCATAGTGTAATTATAAAAAGTTATTGAAGGTCATTACCAAATGGACCCAATTGGGAAAAACCAAAAAGCATACTGTAAAGTGATTAAGAATTGCAGGATTTGGTACTGTATTTTTACCTGTTCTCGTATATGCTGGCTGACTCTTATGCTTTTTATTTTTTAGGTTGTTGAAGACTGGAAATTTATTGCTCAGGTGCTCGATCGAATGTTCTTATGGACTTTTCTTATGGTTTCAATAGTTGGATCACTTGTGTTATTTATTCCTGTTATTCATAAATGGGCAAGTATAATAGTACCTACGCATATAGGCAGTACAAATGCATAAAGTATTTTTGGATCTGTCTCCTGATAGTATGGCTCTAAAGAGTTTTGCAGTAGCTCTATTTCCATGCATGTTCTTTGTAGATTAAAAAAAAAAAATCTAATAGAGGAAAAAAAATAAATCCCAAAGCAGAAAATTATGTTTACATTAAAGCATGGCATCCCTAGGACACATAGAAGCCGATTTGCGTATTGCAAGTCTACTAAGTTACCTCTAAATCAGATCAGAATTAAAAGGACCTTCTCAAGCACTTGCATGTATGATATGTCAGAAAAGCATACACTGACACCTACTGCGAAATAGAAGGATTAAAAATTTTGTAATGATGATCACTGTAGTCCAATTATTAGATTACTATGTAAATTGTTACACTGAGTATTAAATATTTGCAGATATTTATACAGTAGAGTTGCTTATTTCCATTTACTGTAGTATGCAAAGGAGAATTTTTATCAGCTCTTTTGAGTGTATTGTAGAAGTATAAAGTTTCTACAAAGTAAATTTAAAATACCAGTTAAACTTGTATATTCAACATGTAAGTAAAAATAGCGATTTGGCTATGTTTTGCCTTTCTAAATTTTCTGTGGAATTTGCTGCTAAATTTAAAACCTTGTTAATTCTATCATACTAACCTGAACATTTAATACAGTAAGCCTTAAAATGCCTACAGGATACTTGTATATCAATATCTTTGTATCAGGTATGGAAAGGAATGCAAAGACGATTAAATGAGTCCCAAAGTTGCACAGGTATTCTAGTGGACCGGAACGTTCAGATTTCTTTATTCTTGATGAAGAACTTGGTGCGGTATGTTGGTTGCAAACAGGTTAATCATTTCCTGCCTTTATGTTTTTCTCAGAATTAGATTTTTAAGTACAGGTGGAAGGAATTTGGGGAATGCCTTTCTGAAGGAAATGAGGTGAAAGTTGTTGTGCTGTGTAACTAAATACGGATGATTAAGTTTTCACACATTTGTTAAACTGAACTTAGAAAGCTACCTTTAATAGGTTCTCTGACATTGAATCGTATGTAACTAAGCAGTGAGGATGTACAACTTTCCATACTTTCTTTTTTCTGAGTGTGTTGAAAACTAACTTGCAACTTTTGAATTATTCCATTAAAATAAAATATATACTTTAAATACTGATTTTTAAATTCTTTAAATTCATTCCAATACCACCTTTGTTAAAAGCTTTATCTCTGGAAGAGACTCTAAAATAAATGGGGGTTTTCCTGTGCCAAAGTTTTGTCAGAGTACTTCATAATATAGTTGCATCCTGCAGGGCTAATACAGTAATGCCAAGCTAGAGCAAGTCTTGGAAAGTTTTTATTTGATTAAATTACTACATTAATAATAACATGTTTAGGAGAGAAGTTTAAATTAACTTGTGGTGTCTTTGATAATACGAGTTTTAATAGTGGGTATGAATTTGGAAAATGGACATATATTCCCTGCCCACACTGTCCTGCATCTCCTTTAGAATAGCACTGTTTGGCACTGCACTGATTCTAATACTGATTGCTTATGTCATAATTTATATGTTATTGAATATTTCAAATTGTTTTCACCTGTAGGACATTCTTGGTTTTGTGTAGCTTTTTAAGGCTCACGGGCAGGGAAATGCTGCCAGGCAAGCGCTTTTTTTTTTTTTTTTTTTAAATACCGATTTATAAATAATTCTGATTGATTGTAAAGGGAGTCACTCTTCCTTTTCAGTTTTACACAATTACATCTCACATTCAATATCTGTATTTCCTCTATTCCTATCATAATTAATTTTCAAGGTGAATTTGCAAAGATTATCTGATTTAATCCATTAATATAATAATTTTAACTTTCTCAGTATTACTAGGATTAAAAGATGCATCAGTGACTTTCTCTGTGTGGAAGTTGCAGAAATAGTTTAGATATCTTATTTTCTCTTCAGATGCAAAATTTCTTTTTATAGTGCTCCTTGGGTTTGAATTACTGACGTTTACTCTTACCTGAACAGAAAACAAAGTAAATAAAACTACAGATTAGCTATATATATTCATTTTTATTGACTCCCTGCCTTATCTCTTTACCCTTGTTAAATAGTATCCATAGATTGGCCATTTATATTACAAGGTGATTGGTGGCATGTTGGCCAATGGAGTCTGCGTCTTTATACTAGTAATTCACAACTTTTGCAAATGCATGAATTTCTTTTAGTCACTTCTACAACCTGGTCATGATAAACACAGATAAGATTCTAGCTGACACTAGAATCCTTGGGGTCTTCAGCTTATCAGGTGTGTCTGAAACAAAATAATTTTAATAGACTCAGAAGCATGGACCTTTGCTAATGTAACTGGTTTCTGAATGTGTTGATCTGTAGCTAATGCTACCTTATACAGGTTTTTGTCACTGGGTCAAAATAAATGGAAAAAAAGCACACAAGTTTCAACAGCTTGATTCTCTTTATTTGCTTAAAAGTTACATCACTTGATACACTGTATTTCAAAAAAGTTTCCAGTTTGGTACAGAGAGAACTGTTCCTATTTTTACAAAATATTTTCTTGTTACAATGTTTTGTTTAATTCTTTATTCATGCTCTTAAATTATCTGCAGTTACTGATTAAAAACCACGTACATCTACAAAGCCATTTTAGCATACATTACAGGACTATTTTGTATCTACCTGCCTTCCCTTGTCATGAAACACTTTGCTATAGCAGGATGCTTCCGTATCCAAACTATCCTATCAGAGCATTTTGATCCTTTGCATAACTTGGAGACTGCATCTTGGTGTGTGTTTTACTTGTACACAGCGCTAAACATGATTAGGTTTGAATAGCTTGTTTTTTCTGACAGTCTTCTCATACACTGAAGTATGGGGATGCACAGAGGTCACATGATGGCTGCTTTATTACCATCATCTATTATTTACCTATTTTTTCCCTTTTGTAATAAACCTGCCCATGGTCCTTTCCTCTCACTGTTTGAGTCCGTTCATACACCAGGTGGCAATGTCTGCATTCTCGCTGTTTGGTATGTGTGCTTCTAAACGATTTCGTCCTCGCGAGGGTGCTTGTTGAACTCTGTATGAACTTATTCTCAGAAGATCCTGTCATGGTCTGAAGAGACTTGGCACCAGACTTGTGGAAACAAATCTAGCAGCCTGAAGTATTCAACCTGTCTTGACCTTCTGAATATTCATGTAATTTTCAGTTTCTTTATCAACCCCTTCTTAAACCATTTCTGTGAAGTTTAATGTACTACCTGCATCTTTTCCAGTTATTGCAAAAAGTAGCTGTCAAGCATAGCTCATGTTACATTGCTATTAGCTGTTCGAAAGGCTCAAAATTTTTTTGTTTTCGCTTTTTCACATTTTTAACAAAGTCTTCTTGGTCAAGCAAAGTTGAGGCCAAGTGAGATCCTTATTCCGCTACACGCAGAAGAGATGTCAGGTGCTGGGGTGGGGGCACAGAGTTGGTTGGCAAAATTTTTATTTGATTTCGCCACATACTATTTAATCTTTACATTTCATCTCCAGCCATCAAAGGTTGTAAGAACAATCCTGCTGTTCCTAGAATACATACCAGGATGAAAACCCATAGAAAAATACGATCGATTACCATGGCAACGTATTTCCAGTCATCCTGAATCTGAAAAATAAATTGAATAGCAAGTAGGCATGTTTATTAGTTTAATAACTTGCATTAGCAATTAGTACCATTTTATATAGGAAGCACAGTTCTTTTCCGTACGTAGATGTCTCATATATGCACAACTTGCATATCTCTCTTTCCATTGACAAATGAATTCATCTTGAAGAAGCTTTTTTGAATATGCTATTTATGGCAAAGCCAAAAGCTGCTACTTCAAATGTAAAAAGTTGTTCACCAAGACATTGGAGTTGAGGAGATACAACTTCTCTTCTGTATGCCAAAAATGAAAGTGAAATCTTTACATTTTTAGGTGATCAGGTTTGTCCAGAAAACTTTACTGAAACGGACTGTTCCTACTGGTCTTTAGGCAGTATGTAAAAAGGTTAATTGGTATATAATTATTTGGTACATTTCGTATGTAGTACTGAAATTTAGTTGTTGCCATGCATGATGTAAAATTTATCTCCTTATCTTCCATGTAGAGAGGGAACTAAGTTTCCGAAAACTGCAGATTTTTCTAATTTATTCTTTTTACAGTGGGCATTATAACAAGAGTGACACCAAAGTATTATATATGTTATACGTTAATAGTAACTACATTAGGTGATCATTTTAGTTACTCATGAGATTACAATGTAGATTTTTACTTAATTTTTCTTCAGGAAGGCTAATAAATCAATAATGCATTTGTTGTTTTTGAAATTTTATCCTTTTAGCTTAGAACTTGTTTGGTAAGAAAGACTGAAAAAACCCCAAACAACCCCGTATTTTCTATACCAACTAATTCTAAAGATCCGATTTCAGCATAAACAAAATAGCTTCATTCTAACTTTAAGTGTTATACTGCATAGCTTTTAAATTGTGGTGGCGTGGCTACTGCTCTTAGTATGTTTGAGGAACACGATGAAAACTTTACAGGTTTTTTTTAATTGCATTAAGATGCAGTTTTATGAATGGTGATGGTCCCTGTCTTGCAGCAGTTGTCTCATTTAGCTACAGCACTTTACTCTGCAGCAGCAGCAGCAGCAGAATAAGCAACATCATCACTGTGAAGGACATTCATTCTTAGGTTCTTTGTTATTGGCAGTAAGCTGTGGGATGGAGAATGTAACTTTCTAAAGGCCATAGAGTCAGCAAATTCCACTATTAAAGATTATAACTTGGAAAATCCTCACTCCAGCTCTTGTAGGATGGATACTCAAGTATGATTCGCTAGCAGCGGTTACTGAGGTTAAGATGTGCGTCACTCAGTATATGTGTTGTCAATAAAGAGAATGTGCAACAGAACTGCTCCCCAAAATTTTCTCTGTTCAAAATGGCACGTATTTGTAATACAGCTTGGGTAATTTACTTGTATAAAATAATGGTCAGTGTTGTCCTTTTTTTTTGTCCTTTTTTTCCTTTTTTTTTTTTTTGAGAGAGATCTCTCTTTTTTTTTTTTCTTACAGAACACACTAACGGCAAATGTCTGCAATTTGAGTAGTAGCAAAGTATGTTCTTACCTCTTTTGCTTCATTCTGCATTTTCATATTTTCTGCAATGTATTTAACACTTTCAATAGCATCTCTCATTTCTGGTGACAGAACTGAAAATGAAAACAGAGGATCTACAGACTCAGAGCTTGAACTTTTTGTGAGATTGCCACCGAAATCCGAGAACTTCATTCGTGGATATTGGCAACAGCCACATGCCATATCTTGACATACAAAGCCATCTTTGCAGCATTTGGTTTCAGAACCATTGAAGCAATTTAAGTTTGAAAACTCAGAAGTGAAAAGTGGTTTTGGCTTCTGATTAGTCTCTTCATCACTGGCAGGCCTTGTCATAAACATGATCCTGGGAAGTAAGTTCAGGAAAATGGTTCTCACCCACACAGGCATTGTGTGTGTCTTGGGTGTTCTGTAGTGCACGTTAAGTACAAATACTGTAATGACAATAGATAGAGTTACAAATATCATGGTGAAAAGGAGGTATTCCCCAATAAGTGGAATTACCAGGGAAGTAGAAGGTATGGTTTCTGTGATAACAAGAAGGAACACTGTTAAAGATAGAAGGACTGATATGCAGAGTGTCACCTTCTCGCCACAGTCTGAAGGCAAATAGAAAACTAATACAGTCAGAAAAGAAATCAGCAGACAGGGGATAATCATATTGATTGTGTAAAATAAAGGTAAACGCCTAATGTAAAGAGAGTATGTGATGTCTGGATATATCTCTTCACAGCAGTTGTATTTGATGTCATGTTTATACCCAGGAGCTTTAATAATAGCCCATTCTCCACTCTCCCAGTAATCTTTCAGGTTCATTGTAGAGCCAATTAAAACTAAGTCAATTTTGGCTTTATCGTAAGACCAGGAACCAAACTTCATGGTGCAGTTCTGATAGTCAAATGGGAAGTAGGTTACATCTATTTTACACGAGCTTTTAAATATAGCCGGAGGTATCCAGGTCACGTCACCCGTGTATTTTAATAGGGCCTTTGTCTTGTCATCAACTTGGAAATCCCCAACTGCACTGTAAAGCAAGTAAAAATAACAAAAATTAGAACGCAACTACTCCAGGTAGCTTCATACATTCAGATAATATGCATTAACTCTTTAATCTGTATGGGAAAGTCAGCAATTACGTGTTGAAAAAGCGCTGAACTGCACGTGCAGGACTGAGTCAGTGGCCACCATAAATTAGCATAGTTAAACTATGTATAAATTTACAGCTGTATAAATTTACTGTGGAGGATTTGAAAGGAAATACTCTCTCCCTTACAAAAACATGGCTCAGTGCACTCAATATTCAAAACGACAAATAGGAGACTGCAAATGGCAGTCTGACTAGATGATCGCTGTAGGTCCCTTCCAACGGAACTATTCTATTCTGATCAAGCACATCAGAACCCAAGAGCTGATAAGAGGATACCTGCAGTACTGGTATTTCCACCTCATCTGTGGACAGTGCAGGTACTATGGAAAGAGGGATTAGGGCTGGGGTGCATCTTTGCATAAGGAATGTATTTGGTGAGGGTTTTTTTAAGTCCCACATTGCTATCCTGATAACACGGATCATACAAGATCCGTGTGACAATTTCAGTTGTTTCTATGAAAAAGTAAAACTAAACAGGTAATTTAAAGTTTTAAGGCCACAGGTAGAAAAGGAGTGTCATCAGTGTTCTGTAGACCTAAATTTTGGATCTGTATAGCTCAGTCCATTTCACTGAGAATGACTTCCCTATGCAGCAGAGGGATCTGTTGAATTATGGTTTGGCTCCTTACAGCCTCAGAAACTGGCATCCAATGTAAACTTCATCTGTGGCTT